TTTGTCCAGCCCTGCCCCAGAGTCAGGGATCAGATCCAGGCCCTGCTGCTGCTCCCTCGGGATCAGCCACAATTTGGGTGCTGCTGTCAGTGCCAGCAGAGGCGGTGGCTGCAGCAGTGGGTGCTGACAGTGCCCCAAGCCCCGGGGCCAGAGGGGTCCCTGGGCTGGGGGCTGGGAGGGAGCTGCCCCTTGTTCTCCCTCTGCCCCACACAGAGCTGGGCTGGGCACAAGTGGGGCAGCACAGCAAACAGGAGACTGTGAGTCTGCCAGCTATGTCTGCTCAGAGTTTGGGCCTTGGAGCTCCAGGTGGACAAAGGCAGCTGCTCCTGGTGTGAGGTTTAGTTAACCTTTTGGATGCCTTTTGGGCACCCATACTGTTGGGCTTATTTTTCACTTGGTTATTAAAGCAAAACTTTATTTATTTAGTAGCAAGTGGCTATCACGGCAAAGTACACACAAATTTGCATTATCAATATAACTAGCAATACAAATACAGACAATACAAATAACAATATAAATTATAAATAACACTAACAATATAACTACAGGGATAGCTACACAAATGAAAAACAGTTTTTTTGGGGTTGTGTTGGACAGACATATAATATTTAAACTTAATATATTAATTAAAGTTAATTAAGTATTTTTGGGTTGGCTAATTGGCAAATCTGCACTAGTAATAGTGAAGAAAGCAAAGCAGCAAAAGCATAGCATAAGATCAAAACCTATATTTCCTTTAAACTATTACAAAACAAAATTCTACAATGCTACTGATTCCCCCTCTTTAAAAAAATAAACAAAAAAACAAAACACGGGGCAACAAATGTGAGATTTAGGCAAACTTTTGTGTGCCTCTTGGGCACCCACACTGTTGGGTTTATTTTTTTTTGTGTGTGTAAAAAGTGAAGCAGCTAATAGTTGCTATAAAGTTATTTATTGCAGAAACACATCAGTCTTAAAAGCAAAAACAAAGCAAAGCAATGGCATAAAAGCAATGGCTAAAGCAATGGCATAAAGCAATGGCAAAACTTCCATGGCAAAATGCAATGGCAAAATGCACATGGCATAAAGCCATGGCATAGAGCACCAGCTCTCCCTGATGTATGGTTTTTTATAGAAACTTTCTAACTAGTTAAGACACAAACTCAGACCACTACTTCTTAACCTCTTAGAATTCTAGTTTTTTAGCACGCCAGGCTATGTATAGATTACGTTCATGGCCTATCTTGTTCTAACTGAAAAATGTAAGCAATATTCTTAACTCTAACTCTATTATGTCTGAAGCTAGGTTCTTAAAGCCTCTAATAAACACTAATATGTTTTTCAACCTTCACTGTGACATATACTACTTCTCAAGCATCTAAAACCTTTTGCTTACTAAAAACACTTAAAACTTATTCCATTTACTTACTTACATATTCACTCCATCTATTTACTTACTTAGTCCATTCAAAAACTTTAATTCTTACACTCTGATTTCTCTCTAAAGAAATCAGAAAGACTCCTAACTTACTAACTCCAACACCTGGTCCCTCTGTGTGTCCCCGTGCTCAGCAGTGCTGCTCCATCAGTTTGTGCCCAGCAATGGGGAAAAGCCTCAGCCCTGCAGGGCCAGGAGCTGCCGGGCTCTGCCTGAGCAGCTCAGCCAGCGGGAAGGAGCTGCTCCACATGGGAACCAGGAGCAAAGGACACCCCTTTTTATGGCATGCTTTCTGTTTTAAGGAAAAGAAAAAGGAAAAAGAAAAGGAAAAATACTCTATGAAATGTGAAAGATAAAAACACCCAAGTGTGCAGTGAAAAATCTTCTGTTTTAACTTTGAATTAAGAGGTAACTGATCTTTTGAAACACAAAACTCAGTTATTTACTTTGTAATGAGCTGATGGCATTGATGCATCTTACTGGCCTCAGTAACCTTTTTTAAAAAGATTTTGGGGTTTGTTTCCAATATTATTATTTTAAATTGTGGTGAAACTGGTGGGAAGCAAGAAGAAATTCCTTTGTGCCCTGCCAGCTCCAAGCAGGACTGGGAATCTAAATTCTGTCGCAGTCCAAATCCTTTAGAAGATGCCCTTCCTTCTCACTGTAAATGAGCTGCACATTCCCTTTGAAATTATCAGGGGTTTTTTAAAGAAAGTCTCACTTATGACTTTTTGCTTGGTTTGGAAGTGCAGAAGGGAAATTCTCCATCCCTCAGGTCCAGACTGCATTGCCTTAGGAGACTGCACAGCCCACTCGCCATGTTTTGTCCACTCGGGGCACTTCTGGAGGAAAAAGAAAGTGCAATTGCACAATTCCAGACAAGAAGGAATGAAGAGTGGAACCAACAAAACATCCTGTGGAGATCCAGGTGTTCAGCTGGGACTGTGGAGAGTTTGGGTTCTTGCCAACTGGATGCGTGTCCCTAACTGCAATGTCTTGGCCTGCAGGAGAGTCTCACCTGCAGAAGCAAAAGCTCAGGTGGTGAGCTCGGAATGGGTTTGTCTGATGCAAAGCTGTCAGAGCCATGTGAGGGCAGAGCGGGCGCAGCTGTGCCCAGGGCTGAGCCCAGCAGAGCCCTGGCAGAGCCCAGAGCAGCCTCAGCATCTGCAGAGCCCGGCTGCAAGGAGAGAAACCAGAAACCGCCCGTCAGCTGAAGGCTCCTGTCCCCCTTGTCCCAACAGCCCACAGTGCCCAGGCCATGCTGGCCATGCCCAGAGCGGTGCCCAAAGCTGCCCATCATTGCTGCCTTGGGCAAAGAGCAAGAGGGCAGGACTGTGCCCAGCCTGCAGCCAGCCATGGCACATCCAGCCCCTCAGCAGCTGCCCAGAGCCAAAAAGCAGCTTGGCAGCCACTGAAGAATTCATTGCATCTGCCCCAGCAACTGGGGAAACCTTTGGTGCCCGGCCAGGCTGTGCCACGCCCAGATCTGGCAGCATCCCCCTGGATGTGGGCTCACCCGCAAATTGGGTGTGGATCTGTGCAGAAGGTGCCAGAATCCAAGTCCATCACCTTCAGCTGGCCAGGTCGATGAAGAGATTCTTGTCATTGTGGGTGTCCTTGGTGTCTCTGGCAGCAGCCCCACCTGGAACAGCTTCTCCAGGGGCTCCTTCTCCTTACCTGGGGGCCAGACCAGGCTGTCAGTGTTCTTCCCAGGGCTCCAGCATCAATGAACCAGACAAGCAAACCCAGGGTTGATGGTGGCCACCAGTGCTTGCCACACCAGGTCTCCAGCTCAGCTCCAGCCCAAGAGTTGTGTTTTCCCTTCTGATGATCCCTGCTCAGAGCTACAGTAGCATGACAAAACCAGACTGGTTTGCTTTGCCACTGATTGCCAAGAGATGTGTGCAGCTGTTATATGCCGGGCCCCTGGATCCAACTGTGCCCATGGATATCTCCCATCTTCTAAGGCAGATGAACACTCTGCAGCCAAGGATCACAGAAAAGGTCTTCTAAGGACATCCTGTCCAAGGGTCCAAGGGTTGTATGGACAAACCTCTTAATAACATCTTGGCACTCTGAAGAGAGAAAACAGAAATCACCAGTCAGCTGGAGAAGTTGCTCTCCATTCCTGTGCCCAGGCTATGCTGAGTGTGCCCAGGGTTGTGCCTAAAATTCCCCATGGATTCTCTGTTTGGAGGAGAGCGGGAGAGCAGGACATGTGCCACCCCCTCAGCAGCTGCCAGAGCAAGATGCTCACAATCCCGCTGCTGTCTCCCAGCACTGGTATTCCTCCCTGCCCAGAGATGAGGATCCACCTTGAGAGAGCCGTCGTGGGAACAAGATCCGTCCCCAGATGATCTCCTGACCCCTCCTGAACGGGTGCTTCCCCATGACCAGGTGGTACAGCAGGAGACCCAGGGACCAGATCGTTGCTGCCTCGCCATGGTAGCATTGGTGGTGGATCCATTCTGGTGGGCTGTAGGACAGGGTTCCTACGGAATACAGATGAAATTTGTTATAAATGAGAGACAAAAGTCTTGATATTCAGCAAAACTGAGATTGCTTTATTTGATATAGAAAGAGCAAGCTACGCTGGGGAACGTGAGAGGTCACCGCCTACTCTACACTCCAGTGAACCCCGGCCTGCAGCCTCTTCTTATACTATGATTTCCCACTATAATCAATAATTTTTGGTTTTTTAGCTGTCACAATTTTGACAGGTAAGCAGTGGTGGTCGAATAAACATCCTTATCCCAATTCACAGTCTTTAGCGATAGTTTCACAGATAACGGCCTGTCTTTGTAGATAACCATCAGTGAAATTCTGGAAGTCTGGTCCTTGAGATAGGCAGCATTGATCAGACAAAGGCTGGAAGGGCTATCGGGAAGTCTGATTTTGGGCTATTGGGAAGTTTGATTTTGCAAGCTGGTAGTAGATGCAACTTATTAGGAAAACATAACCTAACCTAAGATAATATAACATAATATAACATAAGAAGGTGATTTTAAACAGAATGATTTTATCATATAATTTCCTTTATCTAGTGTCCATGCTTCACTTCAGAGCTTAGTATTCTGGTTTATACAAACCCCAATGCTTTTGTGATTAGCATGAATCTTTTATCAATTATCACAAGTTCATCAGGGGGATGCTGCTGCTCCCAGAGCCTGGCCCCAGCATCCCTGGGCATGCACGGGTTGCCCCAGTGGCACAGGGTGTGACCCACTGCCCTCTGAACAGCACCTGGGACTTGTGTACAAACTCGGGGTTGGAAAAGAATCCACTGGTGCTGGAAGAGGGCAGCAGAAGCCCCAGGGAGGCCCAAGCATGACATGCAAAAGAAAACCCCACCCAGAGGTGGAGAAAACCCACTCTTCTCCCCACCTGCATGGCCCCAAAAATAAGCCAAGGCAAACAAGGGGAGCAGAGCAGTTCAAGCCCTTCCTTGCCTGCACACCAAACTGAGCAGTGCACGGGTCTGACCTCCCTCTCTGCTACCCCCATGGGGTTTTTATCAGCCTGGCTGTCCCAGCTCCATCCCCAGCTCAAGGCAGCGTGGATGATGAAGGCTGTCAGCAGGGCTGGGAGCAGGCACCCCTCACACCCCCAGCCAAATCAATTTGGTTCAAGCATTGATCCCATCCCGGCTGCAATAGGGGGAAGCCCCGGTGCTACACACAGGCTGGGCCATGAGATGCCCAGGAGCATCCCCTGGGAGGACTCATCTGCAAACTGGGTGTAGGCTGTCTTGGAGGAAGGTGCCACAGCCAAAGTCGATCAGTTTCAGCTCCCAAATGGCCAGGTCCAGCAGGATGTTCTCTGCTTTGATATCCCTGAGCAGGACCCCGCAGCTGGTGCAGTGCACAGCCTCCAGCACCTGGCGGAACAGCTCCTGCACCTCCTGCTCCAGCAGGAATCTCTGTTCTGCCTGCAAATGCGAGAGGTCCTGGCACTGCTCCGGACGCTCCAGCACCAACAAGAAGCTGTTGGGCAGCTCAACCCAACCCACTCCAGGAGCTGAATGACCCCAGCACACCCACAGGATATCTTGGCCAGCAGCACGATCTCCAGGGGAACGATCTCAGTGAGACTGAGGCCGTGCCAGGGCTCTGGGACCCCTCAGCCAGCCCGGGATGCTCTGCATCAGGGATGCAGCACTTACCCCACGCCTGCTCTCCCAGCAGCGAACCTACCCGGTATCGCTCATTCAGGCCCTGCTGCGCCTTCCCTGCCGGTGAGACGCGGCTGTCAGCGCTCGGCCCGGGGCCAGGAACGGCCCCCGAGCGCCCCTCAGCCGCCCCGGGCCGGGCAGCCCCAGGCGTTCGCTCCGTGGAACTGGACAGCGGCGGCTCGGGGCCGGCGGCCGCGCTGCCGAGCAGCGGAACTCTGGCCGGGGGAGCCGCAGCGCAGGCGGCGGGAGCGGCCGCGCCGCCTGTGTCCTCTGCCGGCCCCGGGAGCAGCCGGGGCCGGAGCCGGGGCCGGGCTCGGGACAGGCGGACCCAAAGGGAGGCGATGCCGCCGCAGCCCCAGGCACTCATGCCCGCCAGCCGGAGCGGAGGCGAGACCGCGGCGGGACGGCCTGGGACGGGGACGGGGTCGGGGTCGGGGAGGGGGCGGGGTCGGGGGAGGGAAAGGGGAAAGGGGGGACGGGACGGGGCAGCCCCTCCCAAGGCCAGGGGCATGGTCCGGTCCGGAATAGAGAGAGGGACGCCGGGGAGGTGGGAGGTGGCAGGGGTAGAGCACCAAGCGAAGAGCGAGAGAGGGTGTGGGACAGCGGGAGAGGCAGATGAGGACCGAGAGAAGGGATACAGCGGGTCTGTGGAATCGCTGCTCTTCTGCCGCTGCCGAAGTACCAGGAGCGTCTGTCCACATGTCTGTGTGTCCATTCCCCGTGTGTCCGTTCCCCGTGTGTCCATTCCCCGTGTTCCATTCCCCGTGTGTCCGTTCCCCATGTGTCCGTTCCCCATGTGTCCATTCCCCGTGTTCCATTCCCCGTGTGTCCGTTCCCTGTGTGTCCATCCCCCGTGTGTCCATTCCCCGTGTTTCCGTTCCCAGTCTATCCCTTGCTCCCCTGGAGCAGAGGAAAGTGCTGAATGAGGAGTCTGCCAGCGCCAGGCAGAGCCAGCCGCGTGGGAGGGCAGAGCAGCACATGAAGAGCGAGACATGCAGCCCTTGCGGGGAAGCGCTGCTCCCCGGCCGCTCCGGGTGGGCAGCGACAGCGGAGGGGCCACGCCCGGCGCGGTGCCCTCATGCCCAGAGCTGTTCCTGTTTTCTTGTCCAGTTCCAGGAGAAAATCGGAGAGTTCCGAAAGGAGGATTAAAATAAAAGGATGTAACTGCTATTTTTGCCCAGTTAGGATGCCAGTCCGATATAGCAGCTCAGCTTTCAGCTGCCTGCCTCCTCCATGCCAATCCAGCACTTTCAACCTGGAGCAAAGGCCCTCTCTGCAAAGGAACTGCTGGCTGCTTTGTTCCTCCTCATCGACCCAGCTAGAAAAGCAAACGAGTTTGGATCCTGAATCTGTCAAAACAGGTGAACTTTGCCATGTTAAGTCAAGACACAGAGCCTTGACCCCTGCATAATGTCCTAGGAATCACCTTTGTTGCTGCTGTGTATTGTCACTGCTGAGGGTGAAAATACTGTAGGAGCACATGCCCTGTCTCTAGATCCCATAGCCGACCAAAGCACTGTGCTCTAAAATCTTGCATTTGCAGGTTTTTGGTGTCTGCAGCATTGCTTTCAAAGCCAAACAGGGAAGAGGCAAACTGTGTGTAGCTAATGATACTGTAGAGTGCATAAAACTTGCTTAGTCCTAGGTGTTTGAGGTAAGATCAGTTTGGAATGACTGTGATGTAGAACCAGTGCAACACAGAAAAAGGGAGCATATAAGGAAAGGAATTAATAGTATATGTGAACATCTTGGGTTGTTTCTTTCCATTTTCATTTCACTTCTGGGAAGCTCTTCTTCTCGAGAATCTTCTCCACAGAGATGTTTGCTCTTTCCAAGAACCTTTCCTGGAGAACGAGGTGCAGCTTCTGTCACAAGATGTGCCACCAACTGCAGCTTCTCTTGGCTTTCCACACTGTGAGTGCAGCACGACTCTTGCAGCAAAGCAGGATAAATGTTTTGAGAACTTGGTCCTTTCTTTTCCTTGTGGGCTGGGGAGTTGTGCCATGGGTAAGGTTTTCATTGTTACTCTTCTAACCTAAGAAAACAAGGAGGTGGTACCAGGAATTATTAGGGAATGCAACCCTGATTGAATCCAGAGAAAGAATCTCCAGAGCCTGCAGCCAGAAGTGGACATCTTGTGTGATAATCATTCCAACACCCCCGTGGACATCTTGACAGTGATCAAGAACATGAAAATGGGCTGACAGAGGGAGTTGGTTTCTGTGTTCAGTTTAGCTGATTCTACATCTCTTGCACTGGTGTAAATCAAGAGTACCATCAATTCATGAGAAGCACCAGAACAAGCTGGACCTCTCTGAGGAGATGACTGAAAGAACCTGAAAAGGAGAAATGCAGGGAATGAGCTTCGTCTGTAAGAACGGTAATTTTTTTTTTCCTAAAAATTTTCAATTCGTTCCCTCTGCTTTTGTCCTTTATAGCAAGGCTATTTGCATCCCAGATTCCCTATGAAATGAGAACGCTGAGCTTGTGGAAGTGCCTGAAGGATGCCCTGTTCCTCTGCAGGGACACTCAGGCTGAAACAGGAGCCTGAGGCCTGTCTGGGGAAGCGTCCTCGGAGCTGGAATTTGTGCCGTGCTGGGAGAGGAGGAGCAGGGGGAGAAGGCTGGGCGCTGTGTGGCAGGAGCAGGAGGTTTGGGCTCAGGACATTCTGCCTGCGCTGCTGCCCCGCAATGGGCGGCCGTGCCCGGGGCTCTGGGCCTGGCCCCGCGTGCGCTGAGCTCCCGACACTGCGGGAGCTGCCCGGGCTGGGCTCAGGATCCCGCTGGGGCTGGGCAGCAGGCTGGGCTCCCACTGGGATCAGGAGCAGCTGGAAATACCTCTGGGCATCTCCATTTCCTGCTGCTGGGAAGAAGCAATGAAGCTAGTCGAGAAGTTCTGGTTTCTGTTTCCCTGGTCGATTTTTAAATTTAATTCCACACCACAGAGGCAATTTCTATGATGGCCTCTGTCAGTTCAACAGTGCCAGCAACAGGGCTGTGTTTGGGCACTGCAAACGTGGCCTGTGTGGCTTTAATTCCCCTTGATTGAGTGCTTAGGGGCTGGTAGGCATTTCAGTATCTGCTGATCTTTATGCTTGGAACAAAAATACTGACTTCACTGTCATGAAAGCACTGTGGATAGCATGAATTAAAAGAGGCACTTTCCGTTTTATGGATTAAATTCAAGTGGCAAGCAGAAGAGGGGCAAGAGAAGCCACGATCTACAATTCTCAAGGCAAAGGCAACAACAGCCTTCTGCTGTCACCTCGGGGTGAGTAAAACAGGGCTGAAAGCAGCGCTGGAACCCGATCCTTTCTGTCTCTGCAGGCTGGGTCAGGGCAGCATAGGCGGGCCCTGAGGAATCAGGGCTGTGTGTGGGTGATTGTTGCTGTACTCCAGAATTGCCCTGGACAAAGGCCTTGGAAGCCGAGGCAGGAGCAGGTGGGAAGGGGCCGGCGCTGCTGCTGCTCCTGCCCGGGAGCCCCGGCTGGGCCGGGCTGGCTCCCACTGCGCTGTGGCTGCTGCTGCTGCCAGAGCCGGGCGGGACTCGGGGACAGCAAAGGCCTTGGGGCTGCAGGGATGTTGGTGCTGGGGCAGCACCAGCACAGAGCTTCAGCCCGCAATTAACCCTCAGTGAAATGCTGGGGAAAGGCTCCATTACAGCCTTTCTTGACTCATTGCTGTGAAGGGACTGAAATAAAAGGAGAAAAAGCAGGGCCAGACCCCTTCTCCTTTGGGAGGGGCCCCATGCCTGGGGCTGTGAGGGCCCACAGGGGACCATGGGGAACTGTGAGGAGCAATGAGGGCCCATAAGTGTCTGTGAGGGCCTGTGTATTGCATTCCTCGGGGATTCTCCCTTTTGAGACAACATTACCAGCTTAGATAAATGATAGCATGGCTGTAAAATAATAAAGAGAAGGATGCAGTGGTCTGCCAGGATATCCTTTAATCCATGTGGTCCATGAAGCAGTTTCCAAAAGTGATGTTATCTAAAGATAAGCAGGAACCAAAGACAAGGGTCAGGGGATCGGGTTCACAAAACACAGGGAATACCTGAGGGCAGAGGTCCAATCCCGAAGGACTTGGCCTTTTATGGCAAAGGTCTCAGACCAACCAAGAATCAGGGCTACAAATTAAATTTACTTTGGAATGTGCTAATTAACATCTCACAGTGCCTGGTTTGCCAGGGTCTCAGGTTTATGTCTCTTATTTCAATTGATTAAATTATTACAGCTATGAGAGGCCAGGCACCTTATGGAACCAAGGGGCCATTGTGGCACAGCAAGGCCTTGTGGAACCAAAGAGACCATGGTGACACTGTGGAACCTCATGGTACCACAGATCCATTGTTACACAGCCGCCACAGCAGGGTTGCAGAACCAAGGAGATCATTGTGATGCTACACAACCTCATGGAATCAAGGCATCCATGCTACGCTATTGAACCTCATGGAACCAAAAGTCCATTGTGACATTGTGGGGCCTCATGGAACCATGGAGACCGTAAAGATGCTTCAGGATCCACTGGAACCAAGGGGCTGTTGGGCAATGGAGGGCCTTGTATAACTGAGGGGTATAACCATTGTTGCACGGTAGGGCCTCATGGAATCAAGGGGATCATAGCGACACTGTGAGGCTCCATAAGGGGCCGTGAGGTTCTATAAGGGGACTGTGGGGCTCCATGAGACCACAGGACCATTCTGACTCTGTGGAACCAAGGATACCATTGTTACACTATGAGGCATCATGGAACAAAGGAGGCCATTGTGAATCAGCAGGGGAACCCGCTGAGACTATTATTATACTTTAAGGGCCATTGTGGAATTGCTGAGCCTCGTGCAACCAATGAGATCATTGTGACATCACAGAGCCTCATGGAAGCAAGGGGCCATTGTGACACTGTGTGGCACCATGGAACCAAGGAGACCATTGTGAAACTACAAGGCTCCGTAGAACTAAGAACTCATGTAACAGAGGGGCCCAATGGAATCAAGGGGCCATTCTGTACTTCAGGGCCTCTCCACCCTGTGGGGCGTGCTCCCGCAAGCCCAGGA